GGGGGGAAAGGCGCATCGGGACCGGGAGAGGAAATTGAAGACTACTTGGAAGCAGTTGACAGGGAAAACGCTTCAGCCCCATTTCCTAAGCGGGACAGAAGCATTTGTGTCTGAAATTACAAATATATTCCGGTAGGGAACCGGTTCTAAAACGGTTCTGTCTGAAATGACAGACCAGTAACTGTTTGGGAACCGTTCCTCTTCCGGATTATATTGTCTGTCTGAAATTCCTCAACGTTTCAGATACCAGGTGTTAGTCTCCTTCCTCACTGGTTCCAGATTCTCTGTGGCACAGAGGGAGAGGTAAAACACGTGTCATTTCCCCTGCACCACGGACCTCCTCTGGAACCCTCTGGAAAGAAACAGTCATGAGCCCACACCCCTTCAAGCTCTGGCCCATTGATTCCAGGAGGGGAGGGATCATAACCACACGCTCTGCAACAGGGAAAAGAGCCAGAGTCCAGCAGCACCTTAAAGACTAACAACATTTGTGGCAGGGGAGGAGCTTTTGCGAGTCACTGCTCACTTCTTCAGATCTTGGTCTATCTTGAACTATGGTCGAATCTGCATTTGCATTTTTAAAATTAGTTTCACGCTGCTGTGATGCCGTCTTTCTCTATGCTTGTTTGAATGCTGTTTGGAGAAGATTCTTTTAAAGCAGTGCAGAGGTGCAATGACAGTGGAGCCGCCCCGAAAGGACGATAAACATATGTGGACGTGCAAAAGTATGCTAGCACTCTTGAGGTGTGAAAACGACACCAAATGTAGACAGCTTTTTTGAAGACGTAGTCAAAAGGCTGGGACGCCAGTGGGAAAGACAAAATGCAGATTCAGCCTAATGTGCAATCCGCACGTGGGGGAGGCAGTAAACTATCTCAGAATTCATAGAGCTCCATGCCATGGAAATACACTGAGGATTTGTGCTATCACTTTCTGTTTTGACCTCTGACGGCTTGCCCGATGGAGAAGGTAAAAAGTCTCAACTGAGTGCATCAGTGCACCTTTGTACTCAAGACCCACCCGTCACTGAAAATGAGAACGCTTGTCATCCGTCAGCCCATGATTTTAAATGAGGACAGTCTCCCCTTCTAGGAAGTGAGCTTTTCTTGCTTGGCACAAAGGCTTGAAAACTAAAGGATGTCACCTGCAAAACCCAAGAGCTCCTACAGGCGTTCCTGTCCCAGAAAACCGCTACGACAATGCCAGTAAAACGTAATTATACAGTACATTACAGCTTGCAGAATGGAGCGTAACCTCGACATTGTTCGAAAACCTCCTTAAAAGGGAATATTAGCACAACTGCTTAGAGCATTTGAGATATCCACATTTCTTTCATTGCTTAATGGGGCAGAATTGCTGGGGGAGGGGGAGATTTACTGGTTGATGACGGTGTGAGAAGCATGCTCAGTTTCTGTTTGTATTCCAGCAGATCTTTCCCGCAGTTTTCAATACGGTATTGTGGCCAACTGCGCAAGCCACTTTTATAGAACTCCAAGCTTGTTGATCTCCTAGCCCTGACCCAATCAGTTGGTGATCCAAGTACTTGTTCCGGGACAGCAACTCCCAATTCACATCAACCTCTGATCCGTTTTTTGGAACATTTGAAGGGTAAATCAGAGGTTGGAACGAACTGGTAGAGAATCAGCTGCCTCTTGGCAAGTTTCAGAGAAGAAGCAGTGTTAGGCTAAAGGACACACCATGTATGCCTCAAACAAATGAC